TCTCTCTCTCTCTCTCTCTCTCTCTCTCTCTCTCTATATATATATATATATATATATATATATATATATATATATATATATCTGTTTTACTTTTCTGGGTGATTTTGGGACCAAAAATGTGTATGGGGTACTTTCTTTTACATTTTAAGTGAAAATTATATTTATTTTTTACAGTTGACTTCTTAGATGTATCGGTTTGTTGCCAATTGAAATCATCATCTACCTATTTACTTCAAAAGGGTAAGGGCTTTGCTGAGTATTATTGTTTCTAGGTGTCATTACTATTACAAAGGTAAAGTGGGGAAATTCCGGGGTGATTTCAAGAAAGGAAAGAAATTTGACCTCTTGTTTTGTAATTGAGGTTAAGTACAAAACTGTCGTTCAATCAACAATGAGACCAGTCTCACTAGACTCACTTATATAGCCAAATATGTATATTTCTTAATACTATTAGGACTACAATGAATTCAGGCCTTATAAATACTGAGAATACATGGTGTTTACAATCAATTAGCTGTACATACACCAAGTGACAGTAGTTATAGATGTCAGTTTGATGTGGCTGTTGCTGTGATTTTCAAAAAATGGGTTTTGGTTGAGTATGACTTTGGTTGAAATTTGAAAACATAATTTCAAATGTGGCCGCGGGGAGACAATGGCAGTGTTAAAGATGTGGAAAGTAGGTGATTTAGATTTTCGACCTTTCATATCTTTGTCTCTGAGTTTGTTATTGACATAACAGTCAAACATCACAAAGATTGCCAATATGTTGTGTTTTGTTCATTCATTATTTGACATATTTCCTAGATGAAGATATTCCCAAAGGCATCTTTGTATGTTCTCATTTGGTTGTTCTCGGTATTTAGACATAAATTTAAGGTTTATGATTTTATCTGGTACAAAAGCTTTCCGGGGTCATTTTTCTTAAATTGTCGTCCTAAATTTTATAATCAGGGAAGAAATGGCCGAGCCTTTCTGTTTTCCCATGCAATGAATGTTGTGACGGGGCCAAAAGAAGACAGGCATCTATTGACTGGCCTCCACACTGTTGCTGATGTTTATTGTGGTGATTGCCGTGAAGTGTTGGGTTGGAAGTATGAAAGAGCTTATGAAGCGTCCCAGAGGTACAAGGAAGGAAAGTTCATACTTGAAAAGTCAAAAATTGTTAAGGACAACTGGTAGCATTACACCGTAACCCCAATCCATTCATTCTGCTCTTCATGTTGCCTCTTTCATGCTTTGTGGTGTAATCTTGTATAGGAGAACCTTCAACCATTTGAAAATTGTCATTGTTTCCCCACCTTTAATTTCCTCAGGTTATGGCCAGAAGTGAAATTGGTATATAAACTGTTTATTCCTTGTTAATAGTATTGTGTATTCATTTCTGCTCTATGGATATCATGGCATGGTTACAGATTTCTTTTTGGGGAGTCGAACTTTGCTGACAGGCAAAGTTTATTACTCAGGTTATGGCTTGAATCTCTTGGATATAAAGTAATAGATCTTCTTATGATTAAATTTGATATTTGGTAATAGCACAAATTGGCCAGCTTCAAAGTTTGGCTTTTTGTATGGTCCCTTTCCACGATTGATGTTGTCATTTTTAAGTTCTGCTTCAATTTTTCAATTATTGTAAGCTGTTCGTACATAACAGAATATATGTTATTCTGCTTCAATATTTCTCATTCATGCATTCAGTTCTCTTGACCATTTACAATGTTCCGAATTTTTTGTTTTTTTGAAAGGGTAAGGATAAAGCTTTTATTAAGAATATTAGTTTTTGCACGACAGGTGCCAAAACAAAGTCAATAACATCCAACATCAGAATAAACAAGGAGCGAAAAAAGGGTACCAGTTCCTCCCTGCCTACCCATCTTTACATTCATTAGAAGCATATCAACTATTGAACACTTTCCTTTACTAGTGTGTTACTCAAGGTATACGTTGAATATAATTTTTGAAAACAGTAACTAATTTCCGATGCAGCTTCCCTTACAATGTTCCTATTTATAGAACAGTAAGTTTTGAGATTCAGGAAATTTGAAAAAAAAAAAGTAGAAGGTTTAATAAAATTGATGAAATTTAGTGAAGTCCATCATCACATAAAAAGAGAGTAGACATAATTTGGTGGATTTCATCAAATTTGGATCAATAATTTTCAAGAGTGTTAGAGGGTGAGCGTGTTGCATAATTGGCAATGATATCTACTAGTTGGTAGAATTTAATACCATCGACAAAGATTTTGGATTCAATTATTTTACTATATATACGTTCATTGCCATATGATATCGTGATAATAAGCCCAAGGCTTGTTGCATGTAGTACTTCACACATTCATGTATTTTCTTCCTTTCTTATTTGTTCAATAATATCCAAGCATGGGAACTCTTAGCTAATTTCTGATCGCTCTGTCGGTCCCTTAAGCGGGAGAAAGATTCTTCTAGAGAGTCTAAGTTGTAAAAATGCTGACAATAATAAAATAAAATCCACTAATAAATATTTTCTTAGACGTGTATATCTACGGCTAAATTTGAAGATAACAAAACTAACAATTAATTAAGACATCCATATATTATAAAGGAAGATATAATAGATAAGAGAGTGAGAGAGAATAAAAGAAAATATGAAAGTATGCTCAGTGCGAGAGATCTCGTCAGGGATTTTTTTCCTTGTTCCAAATGGAGAAAGCACAAACTCTATTTATAGAGTTTGGAGAGTACATGTGACTGCCGCAACTGAAAACGTGTGGGAGAATCCTGAGTCTTGTGGCTGGTGAGAACTGCGTCAACAAACTAAGATGTTAGGGGAAAATTCCGAGCCATACAGATGAAGAGCTTGACCACGGGAAAGAACTGTTCATTGCGCAACGTTCACTTGTTGCTTTCAGAAACTTATTTTTGCAATACTTATTTTATATCCCGATATATTGCAAAATAAAAATTGAAAGAAAAGAAGAATTTTCCTGGGTCTTATAAGATGTAATACATAAGAGTTGATATAACAAGTTATATAAACCAGTTCTAAATCGAGAAGTTTAACACATATTATAGTTGGTATAATAAGTTATTATGAATCAAAGACACTTGATGTGTGTTAGAGGTTTATGAATCATAATACACACCATAACCATTGCTGTTATCGTTGTGTTAAGCTTATTAGACCATGCACATACCCAATATTTCTATTGTTCTAGAGATTCTAAACCAAGATCTCATGTAAGTGGTCCCACTAACATTCATATAACTTATTCCATCAAATGTATGATGCAAATCATACATCATCCATAAAGGGATATAAAGATTATTAAAACATTTGTTTAAACTAAAATTCTTTCATCACATAGAATTTTAATTACAAAGTTTAACCTTTTAAAAATACAGTCTCGAACACTTTCGCACAGAAATCATAGGAATGAATATATTTAATTTAAAATCAATTTAGTGCTATCAAGACTAACAAGTGACTTATTTTTATCAATATGAACTGTATTCATGGGATCTTCAATCACAAAGGTTGGGTTACAATCACTTGTTTGTTTGTAAGTGGCTTAAGTATCATTCCCTTTGATGTTTTTAATATCATATTTCTTCCTAATTATTTTGTTAGAGAATCTGCTAGATTCCGTTATGACTTCACATAATCAATAGAAATAGTTTCACTTTTTAGCAACTGCTTCACCAAATTGTGTCTCAATTGTATATGTTTGTTCTCTTAATTGTAAGTCTTGTTTTTAGCTATAACTATTGCCAATTGACAATCATAGTGTATTTATATCGATGAAGTTGGTTTCATTCCTAGTGAAATGTTTGTTAAGAAGTTTTTCAACCACTCAGTCTCACTACTAGTCATCTCAAGAGCAACAAACTCAAATTCCATTATTGATCTTGCAATAATTGTTTGTCTGACTGATCACTTTGTAATCGCACCTCCTCCAAGATTGAATACATAACCACTAGTGAATTTTGTCTCATCTGAATCAAAGATTCATTTAGCACCATTATACCCTTCTAGTACAATGGGAAATCCATTATATTCAATGACATAATCCATTGAATCTCTTAAGTACATAAGCCTAGTAAGTGCATCCTAGTATTCTTAATTTGGCCATTGAGTATACCTACTCAATCTATCTACTGCATAAACAATATTAGGTTTAGATAAGCTAATCAAAAACTATAAGCTCCCAATTATCTAAGCATAATGAGAATGAAAGATAAATTCTACTATATTTTTCATTAATTTAGAGTTAACATCATAAGGGGTATTCACTAGTTTGAAGTCATAATACCTAAACTTCTTAAGAAATTTCTCCATGTATTGTTCTTGAAATAGTAATATACAATCTCTCTTCCTTATGATTCTAACACCTAAAATTATATTGGTTTCACCCATATTTTTCATTTCAAAATTCTATCCTAAAAACAATTTAATTCTAGCGACAATCTCGTTACGTGTATCGTAAATTAGCATGTCATCCACATACAAGCATATAATGACACATTCACCATTTTCAAATTTAGAGTACATACATTTATCAACATCATTAGGTGAAAAACCATCACAAAGCAACACATTATCAAGTTTTTTCATGTCATTGTTTTGGTGCTTGTTTCAACTATACAAAGATTTTAAAAGTTTGCATACTTTATTCTTTAGATCAGGTACAACACATCCTTCAAGTTGAGTTATATAAATTTCCTCCTCCAAATTACCATCCAAAATAACAGTTTTAACATCCATTTGATTTATTACTAGTTTATGATAGTTGTTAAGACTAACAACACTCAAATTTAGGAAATCCTAGTCATAAAAGGCGTCAAAATAATCTATGTTAGGTTTTTTAATAAAGCTTTTTACTACTAATCTTGCTTTATACTTCTTTATAGATTCATTAGGGTGATATATTTTCTTAAAGACCCACTTACAATCAATGAGTTTTTCTCCTTTTGGAAAAACTACC